CATCTGCTTAAACAGTCCATTGAAATTAGAACATAAAACCTCAAATACGGCGTCGTTTCCACGTACTAAACTCAGAAATTATCGGATTCAGTGATGTATTCCATAATTTTACTCTGATTCATCTTCCTATTCATTTTTCAATTTTCTTTAGCTAAGAAGAGGAGAAGATTCGGGATGGACTCCGATGAGCTTCGGGAGATTTTATCAAGATCGCGTGTGGGGATTTGGGAGCTAATTGACGCGGCGATTAAAGTCGCCATTTCCGACTACGCTGGGGATTTGAAGGATCGCCGAGATAAAATTGTTGAGTCGCTTTATTCTTCTACCTCCTGTAATCAGCTCTGCCAAAACTGTAATAACGGCATCACCGATGTCGTTCCCGATCGCTATTATTCTCATAATAACAATAATAGTAGCGATAATAACAACGATAATACTCCCGATATGAACAAAAGTAAAATCGTTAATAATGATAATATAAATGAGGAATTTAGTAAGAGCCCGTTGACTCCTGAGTCAAATAATCGGAATTCTAGTGGAGAAGAGGAACGACAAGAAGAAGAAGATTTGGATCCATACGGGGGGCTGTTTGATGATGAGCAGACCAAAATTCTTAGATTCAAAGAGCAGCTTGAAGACCCCAACCAGGTTTGAATTTTCAGTTTTTAAGTCTTTTTTGTTGTTGTCTGCTTAGTTTGCTATCTGATTTTATTCTATTTTATTTTATTTTATTTTATTTGGGATGTAGAATGAAGAATCTGTGGTGGAATCGCTGCAAAATCTAGAAGACATGGATATTACTTTCCAAGCGCTGAAGGTGGAATTGATACGTTTTCCAGCTAATTTTATCTTTAGATCAATTCTTGGTACTTTTTGCTTACATTATTGGCGTTGAATGTATGGAGCAGGAAACTGATATAGGAAGGCATGTCAATGGATTGCGGAAGCATCCGTCAAATGAAGTGCGCAGATTGGTGAAGCAGCTTGTCAGGTTATTACTTTTAAGTGTGGATAAAATGACGTGGCTCTGAATTCTTCTTCATTTACTTATGATTTCATATTTGATGTTTAGGAAATGGAAGGAAACTGTGGATGAGTGGGTTAAGTTGAACAAACCTGAAGCATCTTCAAACCTCATCGGTAAATAATCCAATTTCTGTTATTGCTTTTCATTTTCACTCTATCTTGCATATACTACACACATTAAAAGCATTTGAATTGAATGAGAGTAATGAATTGTGAGTATAGAAGAGGTTTGTATATTGATAACTGTGGTGGTGGTGGTGGCAGCTGATGGGGACTCACCTCAGCAGAACATGTCCAAAAATCAACAAAATGGCCATCACCAGGTGAAAACCAAATGTTGTTCCAATCAATTTGTTTTTCCGTTAAAAAAGGAAAAGTGAAAAAAAGAAAGTAAAGGAAGAAGCAAAGTGGGTATGAATACAGTTTCAAAATTCTGAAGTTCTGTTTTTACAGGTGCTGGATTTCGGGTACTCTCCAAATCCACGGAGCGAATGTATGAATCAGATTCTGAAATTTGCAGTTGGTCAGTTTTTTTGTTGCTTTCTTTATGTTGTTCATTTAGATGACGTTGTTCTCATGTGTTTGTCTATTAGATGTGAAGTCTGGTGCAGAAAGGAACATTTCAGAATATGAACCAAGGCCTAAACCACCTCAATCTGTCCCTCGTAGAGAAACTCCATCCAGACCACCGCAATCAGTTCCTAAATCTGCCTCTGCTCCTCCTAGCGTACTGACTTCTCAACCGAACTTTTTATACATACAAATGCACATCACATATCATTGATTTTGTGTGTGTAAATGATTGGTTGTGCCTGTTACAAATTTGTTTGTTTGGCTAAGCTTGAAAGTAAGTTTAGAGTAGCTCTGTTTGAGGTACTTTATTTTTGGATCTTTTAGTTCAAAAACTCAGTTTTTGGAAAGTAAGTCTTTACTTACCTTCTGAAAAGTACTTTTTACCCTTTTTAAGCTTGGCAAAACATGCTCATAGTCATTACTCATTATAGCTCTAGCAATTTTGACATTGAAAGTTGAGGAACGTTGGTGGAACCAGTCTCATTGATCTTACAATTTACAAGTGTGTCGATGAGTCGTTACATAGTTCATTGGTTAGATAGGGTAAAGTTCTTAGCATTTTTGACCATCTTTTGGGCAACTTTTCCATGAAATTGGGATCAAAGATCTATGCAATGCAATGGAGTAAGTTTTATTGATTAAATTTAATTGAATTTTGCAGAAACCACAACGGGAAGCTGCCGTAGATGATGAAAGGCTGAATTCTGCTAGAAGGCGACTTCAAGAAAACTACCAAGAAGCTCAGAATGGTTTGATGTCAACTTAAGAATTTTTGCTGTCATGGAATCTGTAGTATTTACTGCGGTTTTCTTTATACTGATTGACTGTTGTCTGCGCTGGTGTATTTTTGCTTTGTGAAGCCAAAAAGCAAAGGACAATTCAGATGATGGATATTCATGAGATTCCCAAACCAAGGAATGGCTTCATTGGCAGGAATAAAGGTGGCGGCGGCTTTCAGGGGAGGCATCACCGTTGATCTGCCCTTTTTTTGTACCATAAAATTGCTCGCAATTTGCTGTGTTTTTCTGATGAGGGGATTACCAGGAAAACGTCTGGTCAATCTTCAGTTACATTATTTGTTGTCCAGCAAGGCTGCAATTTAAACATAAATTTTAGAATTGAGTAGTCTTTTTCTAATAATTTAATTATTGTCATTAAATTTTGTTCTTTCATTCAGGTCCCTTTCAACTCCTAATTTCGAGGCTGGATGTTTTGTTCAACGACTAAGTCCCCGTTCGGCACAAATTTTGTGATAAAAGATTTTGTGGAAAATGATTTTTTTTTTTTTTTAAAGAATATATGTTTAAAAAGTAGGGATAATTTGTTGGTGCACTTGTAAAATTATTTTTACTAGGAGAAAAATATCGAAAATGAGTTTGTTAAAAAATGAATTTTAAAGAATATGTACCGACAAGGTGGATTTAGTGTGGGCGTAGTGGGGTCAACTGTCCCTATACTAAATTTAGAATTTCAAATCTTGTCCAGGATTTTTCAAAAAGATTCTTGTAATTTTCAA